TGGGCCTGGGAGACCTGTGATCGGGCGGTGCTGCCTGGACCAAGTGGCACGGGGGCCCCCCCTCGTGAGGCTCCTCGGGGTGAGGGGCTGCGCTGCCAGCGACGGCGGCAGGGAGGCAGTCTGGGTACCCATCACCTGGTGGAGGATTTTTCACAGCAGATCTTTAAGCCGTCCAGTCCCGCTCACGTGCACTCGGGCGCCTGTCGTCTGCAGTTAGAGCTGCCGCGGGGACACATTTTGGCCTCTCCAAGCCTCCCTGCAGCCCTCGCTGCCTCTGCTGTTGGTAAACGGAACACGGACCCGGGGTGGCTCAGCCCCGCTGCCTTCGTTCTCCCGAGGAGCCGACCTCTGGTCTGCGCTGCCTTCCTGCTCACCCTCTGTGCTCGGTGCCAGGCGTTAGCCCTGGTCCAGGCTGCCAGCATCCAGGGGGCGACATCAGGCTCACCCTGGGGCTCAGTCAGGAGAAACGTTTGGCTTCCTGCTAACCCATACCCTCCGGCCTGACCCTTATTCAAAATAAAAAGGATTTTTTCAGTCTTTACACATTTTTAAAAATGTATCAAATTGTTGAGACACTGGGTGGAGACAGGAGCTCTGCCTGGAAACCTCTCAGAAACCCTAGCGTGTGCCCTCAGCTAGGATGGTCTGTTTTCGCCCAGGCCCATATACCCATCCCACAGTCTCAGCCTGATGTCTCCAGGAGGCCAAGACATCCATACCCCCTGCAAGTGTGCAAAAATCTTCACGTCTAAGTGCATTCTCCTGCCCCTAAGAATGGTTAAGAGGCTTTCGGCGGCCGCTTCCTCAGTCGCCACATCTGGCACACCCCATACGGCTGAGATTGAGAAATTCGGTAAGCCGAAACTAAAGACAGGAACACGGGAGAAATATCCACATGACGGAGCAGGAGATGCAAGCAGGTGAATCGCAAGGCCGGCGCGCCACCAGTACGCACCCTCCGTTACACCAGCACTGCCGTATTTGACTTCCTCTGGCTGTTTAACTGTAAGATGCAAAGGGCTCGGATGGAGACTAAGTGACGGCGCGCCCCTTTCCTCGTCGGAGAATCTCCAGGCCTCGGACAGGGAAGGCTGCTGCCTCTCCCATCTGCCTGGCTGCCCGGCAGGAAGGAAAAGAAACTGCATGTTGGAGAAAGAAGCTGGGGGGGACGGCAGAGGAATGTGGAGTAAGAACCAGGCTGGTCCGAGGTGCCCCGCTGGCTGTAAAATGCATTTTAATCAGAGCGCCATTTTCTTTTTGTCAAAATGATTTTAATTATTGGAATGCAGTTTTTAAATGTGCAAATAAGTTTTAACAACTGAAGAAAAAGGTTAAGAGATACCCACCTAATTATTAACAATAAAAAAATTTCTAAATAAATCCCAATGCCAGGTGTTTTCAGCAAACCTATGGTTTTAGATTATCCTCACTACCTCTAAGCTCCAAATACATATTAAATAAAAATTTGACTATATTTGCTCTGTTTATGAATATAGACTTAATTAAGTACCTCATGCAAGAAAGCCTCTATTTTTTATATCGGGCCTACAGCAGTCAGGTTTTTTTGTTTTGTTTTATTTTGTTTTTACTTTTTATGATCAGGCTCCCTGACTGATTCATTACCATCCTCAGGATAAATAACTAAGGAGTTGGTTGGGTTGTTTGTGTTGTGAGGAAAGGCAAAATATTGAACAGTTGGCTGAAAACTAAAAATTTACCATGCAGACAGACAGCAAAGGGCTCCAAATTGCACAAAATCTTGAATTCTAGGTTTAGAAAATAATAATACGCACACACATATGTGTGTATGTGTGTGTACAAAAATCACAAAAAGCACCCTGTAAAAAACTGCAGGTCTAAATTCCGCAGCTGAGAAATTAATGTAACAATTTGTCTCAAACCAGTGATAACCTGAGCAGAAACAATAGAAACAAACCGTAAACAGCTCAATAAATCCAAAGCATGTCAGTTTCCCACATTAAAAACAAACCTAGCTAAAAATCGAGGCAAATGTTAAAAACACACAAATGCCACAAAGAAGCAAAATCTGTCCTTAGGGAGGGTCAGCAGGTACAACCACAGGAAATTAATATCTCCAAGAACCCAAAATATTAGCACAAGCTGAGAGACTATACGATTAGTATGTTAGAAGTTATTAAAGGAAGGATAATAATAGTCAACACTTATGTATATCAAGATAATAAACTTGATTTGTAGAAATATATAATTGCTGACATCAATGGAGAGGTTAAATGATTCAGATTTAAAGAAATTAACTAGAATTCAGCACAGGGAAAAGGGAGTTATGAGAAGTATGAAAGAGTTTAATAATGCAGAGCATAGAATTGGAAAGATGTGTGTGGAGAGAGAGAGATCTTTTTAACTTTGAGTTCCAGAAGAAAAATAACTCAGGACTGAAGAATGACAAAAGTCCTCAGGTTTAAAGCGCTCTCTGAGTGCAGAACCCTCACTTAGACCAATGGTCGTGAGACTCAGCACATCATAGACAAGGGGAAAGCCTCAAAAGTAACAAAAACAGAAGGTAAAAGGCAGATTGCCCACAAAGGTATGAAGCTAGCAACATTCACCCATTTATGTCCTGAAGTTCTAGACCCAGCTAAGCTGTCAATCAAAAATTAGAGTGCATTAATACACATTTCAGAAAAACAAAGTTGTTTTATACCAGCAAAATAAAGTTAACCAAATCAAAGGGGGAAAAGACTAGATATATCAGACAAAAAAAAATTAGTAGGAAAGGAATGATTAATAACAAGATCAAAATGAAAATTTCAACAAGATATAATAATTCCAAATCTGTGTGGAGTAAGATATAGCTTAAAATTTTTCAAAACAAAAACTCACAGAATTATACAGACACACCAACAAATCTGCAGACTCAGAAATTTTATACCCCGCTCTCAGCAACAGATAATACAAGCAGTCAATAAAGTACATGATGCATAAGAACTGAAAAACATTAAACTAGCAACCCCCAAATAATTCCCCATGGAGAGCAGATGCATTCACTCCCCGCCTTACAAGCACTGTCCTGAGAGAGAACTGGAAACTCACTGACTCCACAGGGACCGGCCAAATGAGGGCAGCTGTCCTCAGAAAAAGTCAGGACCTGAAACCCTGCTGGGGTTTAAGGAACACCCAGAAAAGGAGAGCTGAGAGCCCAGTTTGGCCCTGCAGGGAAAGGGCAGCAGCCACACCACCTGAGAAGGGTGGTCTGGGGCAGTTCCCTACAGACCCCAGGGAACCCAGCTTCCAGGCTCCGGGTCAGTGTTTACAGGGAGCGCAGTGGCCTCAGGCGGAGAAGCCCCGTCGGGGGAGGTTGCATGGGACCATACTGTGCGGTCTAGACATCCGCCAGGCCGGATGGTCATCCCAGTATGGCAGGAACCTCCCGGGAAGAACCTCCACAGATCACACCAGAGGCCCCCTTCCCATTTCTTTTCCCCTAACCAGAACAAAAGGCTTTCACAAGGTGGAGATTTCAGGGTTTTTTTAGTTGAAGTACACTGATATATAATTTTATACTGGTTGCAGGAGTGCACAGCGATCCGAAAGTCATGTACACCCCGGGTGCTCACCGTGGTAAGTGTGAGCACCTGTCACCATAAAAAGTTATGACAATATCAGTGACGGTACGCCCTATGCTGTACCTCATCCCTGTGACTTAGAGATTTCAGTTCTCAGCACACCACGGCCTTCCTCTTTTCTGGTTCTCCCACCCAACCTCCTAGGGCCTCACTGTATGGCCAGGACGAGGCTGATACACTTGCAGAGAACTCTCTAGGCAGGTGTTGAAAACAGCCACTCGGGTGGGTTCATTCTGTTGTGAAGGACCCTGAGGACACCAGGAGGTGCAGCAGGTCCTCAGACAGAAGGGAGGAAGGGGTAGAGACTGGAGGCCCTCCTCCCCCACACACGAGTCGTGTGTCTCCACCCGCAGGAAATGAGGGCAGAGGGATTAAAGATCTGGTTCAGCCACACGGACGAGATGAGAACTCCAGGCTCCGGAGCCACTTCTCGTGTCACAGCGTCGGCTCATTTCCTGTTTTCCACTCAAGCTAATCATGACACGAATTTGAAAAACAGCCACCAGGCCCAAGAATGCAAAGCCTGCAGGTAATTAAGGGCTTTATGTATAAAGGCCAGATGATTACAATCTATGTGAAAACTACTTCCCCGTGTGTAAGGTAAATAGACGTGAACCCCTGCTATTAGGGTTGATATCATCTTCATTTTGCATTTGGCCGATGATCTGATCAAAACTGCATCTGGGTGGAGCAGGCTGAAGTCATTTCTGCTCTGCTTTTGGTCTTGACTTTCCAACAAAAGCCACTACTTGAAATAGCAAGAAATGAATCAATCAATAAACTAATCCAGAAATGATTATTTTTGCCAGAGCCTTAAAATAGATGTTTACTTACAACTTTGGTAATATGTAATGGAAATAAGGTAGCTTTTATGAGAACTAAGGCATTTAACCCTTCCTGTAAAGGGCTGAGCCTAAGGCATCCTGGTCACAGTGGACGGCTTGCTCGGCCGCGTCTGCTTCCTGTTTGTTTTTAAGCTCTGCAGCAGAGACTGGCCTGTTTCTGTAAAGGGCCAGATAGTGAGTGTTTTCAGCTCTGTGAGCCACGCAGTCTCTGTGGCCATTACTCACCCTGCCACTCCAACCAGAGCGCAGCCGTGGATGGCACCAAAGCCACAGAGCGTGGCTCGGTGTGGCCCAGGGCTGCAGTTTGCCAGCTCTCTGCAGCTCTACAGCACAAACCACATTGCCTGGCACAGCAGGCGGCTGGCTGAGTGAAGTCAAGTCTAGACCAGCTAACAGACATTTTGCATGCAGTTAAATGTACTTCGTCCCTTCCCGTCTGTCCACCAAGGAGAACATGAGGTTTCTGACAATGGGGACAATACTTCATTAATTTAGTATTCTCCCTGAACTTCACCCAGACAACATGTCCGTGAGGAAAGGGACCACTTACCTGTCAAATCAGTCGTTTCAAGTCCCGGCCTTTCGGCTGATGTGTGACACTGGCCAGGGCGTTGCTCTGAGCCTCCAAGTCTTCATCTGTGGAAACGGAGACCATCTCTACCTCACAGTGAGGATGAAGGGAAATAATTACATAGAGTGCGTGCCATCTGAGGAGCTCACCTCCAGGCCAGACTCTCTGTGTGACCCACAGAAGCGGCTCCGGGCCCGCACAGGGCCCTCCCTGCAGGGCACGTGGAGGGAAGCCCACCTCCCGGCACCGGCCCGGGGCCCGGCCGAGCCCTGCGCGTGCTGGAGGGAGCTGACGCCGCAGGCTGGGACACCCCCCGCCCGCCCTCCACCGGGCCGGGTCACGGGCCGTCCTGATTGCAGGAGCTTCCATCTGGGGGCTGCCTCACCACGTCCCAGGTGCTCCCGCCAGGTGGAAAGATAGCCACGAGCAGCTGGGGAAGGAGAAGACAAGGCTGAAGCAAGGGACGGCCCAAACCACGCCCGCGTGCGGGGCCCACGTGAAGAGGACCGAGGCTTTGCAGGGAGCTAACTTCCGGCCTGTGGGTCCAGGCCAGGGCGGCTCCAGCCGGGTCCCAGGGCAGGCACAATGCAACAGAGCTATTGCACAACCACAGCTCTTCATAATCTCATTAAGATAAAATTTACATCACAATTTTGCTCCTCTGCGGGCTTTTCTGTATGAATTTTGGAAGAAGACATGCACCAAGAGGAGTGGGTGTGTAACTAGGGCTGTCAGTCAAATGCCCTCACCCTGTCAATCAAAGAGGCACCCCAGCTGGGACACAGTGAAGAGACTGTTCCCTAAAAGCTGGGGGCCCTCGGCTCCCTTGACTCTGCATGCTCCTCCCTTGGAGCGTTTTCAAATAAAACGTTCTGCTTTGCTATTGTGTCTCTGCCTTTCAATTCTCTGTCCCCCAGCTCCTGGCAAACACCATCTGCTTCCCGTCTCTGTGAATCCGATTCCTGCAGGCACATAACAGAAGTGGAATCCTACAGTAGTTGTCTTTCTGTAACTGGCTTCCTTCCTTAGCATAATGTCCCCACCGTTATCCACGCTGTGGCCTGTGACAGGCTCTCCTTCCTTTCTGAGGCCGAATGACACTCCGCTGTGCGCACACCCTGCGCTGTGCGTACACCCTCACCCACCCGCCGGTGCTCGTGCCGCCTCCTCCGTCTGGCTGCCGTGAAGGGTGCTGCTCTGAACACGGGTGTGCCAGCATCGCTCCAGACCCTGCCTTCACCTCTTCCAGGCATATACCCAGAGGAGGAACTGCTGAATTACATGGCATTGTTTCTAATTTTCCTGGAGGACCCCCGCACTGTTTTCCAGCAGCTGCACCGTTTTCTATTCTCACCCACAGTGTGCAGGGCTTGCAGTCTGCACCCGCTCCCAGCATCACCTGTCTCCTGGTTCTTGGCGCTGCCATCCTGATAGGTGTGAGGTGGCATCTCACTGTGGGCCGGCTTTGCATTTTCCTAACGATTAGTGATGTCAAACATCTTTCCACATGCCTGTTGAAAATAGCACAGATTCGCTGTGTATGTTAGCTTGACGATTATATTTTAATTATTTGGAGGTACAGCATGCAAGCCTCCACTTGACATCTTGCCTGGAACCCTGTGAATGATTGGGGCAGGCCTGGTTCCCAAAACCTCCCAAAGCCTTTTCCTGCCTATTAAGTATTGATTGACTAATAAAGTATTTAGGAAAGCAGCACTTGACAGAGACAGCTGATTCTATTAAAGATTTTAATTTAGGTAAAAAAGGTAAAACTAAGAAGCGTCTATCCGTCTAGCACCAGGCAGTCCCTGGGCCAGCAGCCTCGGCTTCCCCACAGGACCACTGGCCAGCTGCAGGGGACGCCGTCAGAATCTGCATCCACCAAGGTTGCCAGGTGGGCTTTGCAGCTTGCAAGACAGGGGTCCCCCTGATCATAAGGTACCCAGAGAGGCTAGAGGCAAACTTAAACGAGCGACACTTTCTGGGCATTGCTGTGTATTAAGAACCGGGCTGAGTGCTTTTCATACATTCTCGTAACAAAAGCATAGGTGGGTGTACACTTACGGCTGAGAGAACTGCGGCTTCCTTAAAAGGGTATTTGCCCAACATAACAGCTGGTGAGTGGCAGAGGCAGGATTCAAACTGAGGAAGTCGGAAAATAGGGCTGACCCCTAAAGCATTCTGACCCACGCGTGAGTCACGCCGGGTTTATGAGCATCGTATAGATGGAGCAGGTGGTGTGCACTCTTCTGACTGGTGGGGCTCAGGACAAACAGCACGAGCTCAGCTGCCCCCCGCTTGGCTGTGCAGGCAGTCAGAACAACAAAGAAAAGAGCGGAAACTGGGGCAGTGGGTCCGCACTGCCTGCCCGGACCCGGCGTGCTGCTTCGAGGTGGACCCACCGGGCCTCTGCTCTCTTGCCATGTACGCACCTCCCGCATCTCAGAGCAAACGTGACACCGTCCTGCCCCTTGAGCGCTGAAGCCCCTGGGGGGGCTCCTCCCTAGGGTCAAATGCCTGCCTCGGCCGTGCATGCTTGGTATAAACCGCCGCTCGGCCGTCTGCCCTCTGAGACCCCGGCGGACCTGCCAGGCCCGTGCCTCCGCTGAGCCCCTCCAGAGAAAGCTGATCACGGCCTCGGGCAGCCTCAGCACCTGCCACGGTGAAGGTTGGCACGGCCGGGCACCATCGCCCCACCAAAGGCTGCAACCAGGCACCAGCCCCCACGAGAGGCTCTGCTGCCACCTCCGCCCTGCCTGTCACCACCCTCGGACAGCCTGCTGGGGCGTTTGGGCCTGCGGGGTCTGGTGACCGGGGCATCTCTGCACACTGAGTTCCCAGCCGACCGGAAATCGGCAAAAGAGGCCATCAAGGGACAGACCAACACCCCACGTTCACTCGCTATAATGAATTTTCTGTAATAGCTGCAATTTCTAAAGTACTTTTGAGCATATAAAAAGGATCAATTAAATTATAATAAATGACTCATGGACTCTTATAACAACTCTCCTAAGATCAATTTAAGTATCTAATGCAGTGGGAAATGAGAGGTTTGCTGGTTGTCCGACTTATCTGTCAGTTCAAATGGCATCTTTTTTTTTCTTAATTCAGGGAGAACCTTTTTTTTGTAACATTTTTGCTTTGATTAACATTTCTTGCTCTTTCCCTTATTTTCACCTTGTAAACTTTTCTTGCCAGGAGCATTCAATCTGTTTGCAGACCACAGATTTTATAACAGCAAAAAATTTATTTCAGGGAAGAGCTTGAATATATTGTAGCAGCTTTTTCTCTTTACTTATTTTGAATTATCCAGAATTGCTGAATATCTTCTATGAAACCTACAGATTTGAACTGTTTGCTTCTTAGAATCATTCTATAAATGAGGCTTAAGTCTGCCGGCTGCTAAAACACTTCTTCACATCTTTTCTTTCTGAGGCAGGTGGGCAGCAGTCTTAGGGGAGCTGCCTTATTTTGGTTATCTGACGAATAAATGCACATTTTGCTACTCTGAGAGATGCAAGGTGTTATTTTGAGTATATGGGTGCAGTGAAATAAATCAGACTTAGAGTAACTATAGCGTCTTCTTGGAAAGTCTGTTGCAATCAAGAAGAAACTCAGAATGTACAACTTTGAGAACTGGATAATGATAAAATATTCTGTGATGCTGACATCTAAGGTTGAGATACACACAAAATTCCTCCCAGAATTATCCCAGATTCCTTCAGCATTTCCAAATCATGTCTATAAGCATATTGTTAGAAAATTTTAACTCAAGTCAGAAGAACTTTCCCTAGAATGGCAATAGTTAAGCAATCTCCTCTTTTCTTAACAGAAACAGGTGTCCAGACATCCACAGACATGCGGCAGGCTGCTGGAGGACCCAGACAGACGTGGAAGTGAGGGAATCACAGTTCTGGTATCAGACATGCAGGGTGTGCTGGGCCTGAAGTAAGCAGCAGTTAGAGTCGACCAGCCTCAGTGAGAAAGTACGTGACTTTGGGAAATCTGGGGAGAGGTTTATGGTAAGAGATCGGATGTGTCTTGTCATGATGTGACAGCCAGCAGCCACCAGCTGGGCTGCCCTGAGTTCAGAATGTTGATGTCCTTCCGGCCGGCTCCCCCAGAGCCAGCCTTCTCTGGCTGTACTTCACCAGAAGGCTGACACTGTCACGAGTTCTTCGGGTAGAAGTTCAGAGAACTTGCTTTTCTCTCCATCTTAGAACTGGGCTCCCTCAGGCTGTATCCCCAGGAGCGAGGTGTCCAATAGCTCAGATGTTGCAAAACCAAACCAAAGGTTTTTGGGGGTCATAAGGAGGCTTAGTGGGCAAAGGGTTGAGTCTGCTCAAGAATATGTGGGCTTCCCCAGACACTCCAAAGGGCCAATGTCAGGGCAGGACGGGCAGCAAAGCTGAGTGGGGGTCAGCGCTGCACGGTGGGCAAGCGCTGGTGGCGAGTCCAGCACCCTGGATAGCTCCCTTCGGGCAAAAGGTAGGGCAGTGCACCTGGGGCCTTTGCACTCCCAGACACGGAGAGTGTGAGATGGGCTCCGCCCTGGGAGTCCTGCTTGCTGGTAGGAGTCACACATTAGCCCCACACAGTTCCTGTAGCACATGGAGACTGCCTGTGCCCACTGCCACCAGCATCGCCCAGCTTTGATCTCTATCAGGTGGGATGGACTCAGGATTCTGTCGGGGTGGCCAAGCCCCTGGGGACTGAACAGGTCAGTTAGCGGGGCAGAGTACGTGGGAAATTCGTCCCCTCGTGGGTGTATCTTTCCTAGTTGAATAATGGGTCTTTCTAGATTGTCCCCCTGATGCCTTTTATCACTGTCAGTGGTACTGAAAACAGCTGCTACCTGAAGGACCATCATGGACCCACTGACACGAGGACCTGTAACTGAGAATAAGGATTGATCGTGTCCAACAGCACCTTCCTTTCAAAGGGAGGCCTCCAACTGAATGAAAGAGATCAGAGTAATGAAAAGACTCAATAAAATATAAAGGCTACTTTCACTATCTTCTCACCAAAAAAAAAAAAAGTCCCTATTTTAGAGGGACATGGATACAGAAGCCCAAGAAGTGATGGTTCTCTGAACAAGCGTGTCATCTGGGAGCCCGAAGGCTTAGATCCAAATGTATTACAGAGAAGAGATGTTCACAGTGATAATTCCAACAGGCCCTTTTATGTCACTTTTGTTCTTCTAACAGATTTCTGACTCGACCTGTGCTGGCAGGCTACGCGGTACAAACTGGACGCTGTGCTCTGGGCCGAACTGTGAGCACCGAGCGCTCGAACCTGGGGGTTCTCGTGACGCCTCTCGCGCAGTAATTGCTTCATGGAATTTAACTTGGAGACCATGGATTGATCTCTTTGAGGATGCTTGGTTTAAACAGGGTGGTCATTTGCCCAAAACGTTCTCGAAAAGATGTGAAAGAAAATGCGTTTATGGCTCCCGTAACAAAACGCGCAGTGAAGAAACAGGCGCTCAGCAGCAGCACGCGCCCTTAGTGGCACCTTCACCTCCCATGGGCCCGTTAGAGCTCAAGCCCAGAAGATCCAATCAGCGTTGGGCTTTGCCCCAAATAGAACAAACTTCAATAAAGGGTGAAAACCATAATCTTTTGCCTCTGGATTTTTTTTTCTCTTTACATTGATTCTGAATCACATCACCAGGTTTGTAATTAAGTGCAAGTGGACAGTTGTACTGGACAATGTATAAATCATCCCCATCTGTGTAAAACACACAGGACGTATGTGCCAGAAATGATAGTAGAGACACTAAACTGATAGTTGCCAAGGAAAGCTCCGTGTATCTCTGCTGCTCATGCTTTTGGGGGGAAGGGAAGGGAAGGCCTTGGGTTTTCTGCAAAGGATTAATTTGGAAAAATCAGTTTTTTATCATCATAACTCATTTATATGTTCGCTCACATATATCAACATTCATTGGTTTGCTGATTCAAAGAGCATCAGATCCTTTGGTTTATTTATTATTTAGATACAGCATTCCAACCCAATTTTATGAGCAACTTTTTCAATCATTTCTACATCTTGATTATTACTCAGTTATAAGAGGTTTATTTTTAAATTTTCTTCAAGGTTCCAACTCTGTTTCCAAGGTAGCTATGTGGAAGTTGGTCACCACAGCCAAACTGCCTCCATGACTGCGGCAAGTGCGACAACCTGGTTTTCTGTGAAAATCGTCATCTCACAGCAGTGCTTCTCAAGAGTGGGTCTCAAACGCCTGCACCAAAATCCCCCGGGATGCTCAGCACATGAGCAGACTCCTGGTCAGCGCCCCAAGTGTATGAGATGCGAGTTTCTGAGAATAAAGTCTGAGAAGCTGCGCTTTCAGGAAGCTCCCAGGAGATGTGTGTGCACAGTAATGCCAGAGACTCCCAGAGATGCTGGCTGGAATCAGCTTCCGCTCCTTCCCACTTCGCCACTTGACTCATACACTAGCACAAACTGAAAAAGGAAAAAGATTTAATTATATTTAAAGTTAAGGTTGTCTCGTTTTTCCTTTATTTGTTCAACAAATATTCATTGCATGAGCAGTATAAACAAGGCATTTGACTGGGCTCCAGAGAAACACTCCAGAGAAATGCAGAGAAACCAGTGCACAGAAGAGAAATGTTCCCAGCAGTATGGGACTAATTCGATCAGGGAAGGAAATCAACAAATCATTTTGTAAGTAATTGCTTGATTACAATGCTGACAGGTGCTGCCAAGAAGAAACAGAAAACATTAATGCCAAGAGGAGATGAGCCTGAGAATTTATTTTTGCAGGGTTGCCTCTGGGAAGGGGCACTCACACAGGGACCTGGAAACTGGGTGGGGGAGAGCATGCCAGGCGGAACCATGCCAGGCTCAAAGGAAGGGAAGACCTGACACAGCAGGAGTGCCCTGCTGCAGTCAGCAGGGCCAGGTCCTTCCGGCCTTTTGAGTCCTGTTGAGGACTTTGGATTTTATCCTGAGATCAATAAGAATCCATGAAAAAGTTTTGAATACCTGATTTTCCAGTGAGCTCTGCAGCAGCATAAATGCAGGAAAGAGGACAGGGCCATCAGAGGGCAGGAAGCCTCAGGTAGAGTTTTGCCCGATGACAATGGGGCAGAAATAGGAACTATGCAGTAGAAGTAAAGCTTGTAAGTGCAGGTGTTCAAATTATGTGTGATGAAGGCAGGGCCCCAGATCATTTAAAGGACCTTAAAATCGCGACAAGCTAATTTTGCCAATTTTGAAGAGCTCTAACAACGTGTGATTGCCATGTGTAAGCAGTGACAGTCATTCATAAGAACAAAACTAAGAACATGAATGGACATCCAAATTGTTCGTCCCATCCCAAGCCACGGGACTTTACGTGGTTTGTGGCTCAACCCTTTGCTTCTCAAAGAAGTTAGATTTGTTTGGGCAGCGCCACTCTGATTAACATGCGAATTGTAATCACGGTGAAGTTGAGAAGAACAGCATTTAGATGCTGGAAAGTGTTATTCTACAAAGCAAACACCAGGTTTAAAAGGCAATGTGCTGTTTTAAAAGAATCATCAACCACTATTACAGTCAAAAGCACTAAGTGAGTAAGAGTAACTAAGGACGTCCCAAAGGAAACACAATGAAACCACTTTGGAACTCATGATTGTGTCAGCAGGCCAGCCTCTCTCTTTATCCTGGTTTATAAGAAACAACGAAGCCCTGACTTTCTGTCCTCTGCACACGGATAATGTGGTTCCAAACTCTGATTTGGATCACACGCCATAGGAGTTATGCTCACACATTCGGCCATAACTGAGCTTCTCTGCTGATAGAAAGGTGCTCATAACAACCAGACTTCAAGACCAAGCGTCACTGACTTGAACACCACTGAGTCAAAATCTGTGAGATCCAATCTGATCTGAGGTTTACATTTAATATGATCACAATCAAAAAGTTTATCAAGCACATTTCTAACATAACCATGATTAGAACAATGTATAGAAAAATCTTAAAATATAGAAGAGCTCAAAAGCAGTCATGATAAAAGCAATTAATATACTATTCACAAGTGTCAACTCATTAATACAAAAGGGCCAGAGTGACCTCTACTGAAAATCAACTGGGAAAGAAAAAAGGTAATCATAACGATGTTGCCACTGGAAAAATATTCTGCAGCATATTCCTGCTGTGACCATAAGACAGCAATTCCTGAACAACAATTTTAAACTTGTAAAAACGTACCCAGAAACTACTGGTGTTCTGTCTTCTATTAAACACGAGTCCACGCATTTAAGGCCCCTCGTCCTCTTAGAGCCACACACGCCACCTTAAAGAGACTGAGCAGTTTTCCTCCCTGGAGTAGCTCAAGCAGGCTGGCTCCTCTGAGGACCAGGCAAACGGGGGCCGCCTTTAGCTTCCACAGCACCACCAAGAGCTGGCTGCCCGCCACAGAGAGTCATCCCCCTCCGACGGCTGCACGCGGACTGTCCCATCTCCCCCAGGCCATTCTTATCTTTTTGTCTTGCATGGTGCCCATAAAACCCTCCCCCTCACTCACAGGGACGCGCTCCATGGAAGGGATAAACTGAATGTATGAACCGCCAGCAGCAGAACACTTGAAGTCCAGTCCCCACCATGTCCCGTTGCCTAAAGCTCCCTCAGCCCTGCGGGGGTGCCTCCTCCCTCGGGGTCTCCAGCCAGCTGACGCTCTCAGCGAGGACCAGCTGGCATCTGCGGGGGGCGCTTGTCTCACAAGACCACCGACAGCCAGAGCGCTGGGAGAAACGCTTCGGATTCCAGGGCCACCCGTGACCGGGCACTTGGCCTGGGGGAGTGTCCAGGCTGTCCTGGGCCTGAACCGGCAGGCGGTATGGGATGTGCAAGGCTGTGCCTCCCTCCTGGCTCTGGCCCTGGGGCGCCCCTGCATGACGGAGGGGTGGACGGACGTGCCTCTCTGGCCCCGCTCTCCGCCCACCCGCACTGCCATCCTTTCCAGGCAAAGCTGAGCCCCGAGACGGGCCTCTGAGCTTCCCGTCCCGTTCTGCAGCCTCTGCTGGAAATGCAACAGTAGCCCTCTGTTCCGATGGCCCACAGAATAATCTTCACAGCGAGTAATACGCTGGAAAGAAAAGCACTATTTCTTTTTGTCCGGTTTTTAATGATTCACGTTAGAAAATAGGAAGAAAGCCTCATTAGTATTGCAGACACTCGCCCTCCGTAGCTGCCGATTTCAGTGTTCCCGCAGCTTCCCTATCTCAGCTGTTAATGGATAATAAAAATTATTAGACCTTCAATTTATATTCAACAGTTCCTCGGACATATCTGGGTTCTGCAGGAATAACTTTCTCCCCAGCACTCCCGTCTCCTCTGGGGCGGATGGGCCTCTTGGGAAGAGCCACGAACTCCCAAAGTGCCTCTGGGTGGGGCCGTCCACTCGCCACACGCTCCCGCCCACGGAGGGAGCCCTCAGCCCTGCCCTCCGCTGTGTGCGGGCAGAGCAGAGCCGGGCCGGGCCGGGGCCTGGCCAAGTGGCCCCAGGCAGAACGGCCTCCACCCCCAAGTGTCACAAGCTGCCAAACCCCACCCACCCAGGGGACAGGCCCTTCCCCGTACACCCCCGCGGAGCCCAGATCACCTCCTCGCCCAAACCCAGAACTGCTGAGTGAATCTGGAAGCTCAGCCACAGGTCGGCACCATGAGGGTGAGAGGGAAGCCGTCCACGAAGGCCTCCTCTCGGTCGCTGTCTCGCTGTCTCTCTGATCCTTTCTCTCTCTGTCTCTCCCTCTCCCTCTGTCTCCCTCCCCCTCTCTCGGGAACTCTCAAAGACCTGTCCACAGTAGTTACAGGACAAACTGCTGTATGTCCACCCTCTACAATCCTCTGAGAGTCCTGGGGACACGGAAGCGTTCATAAAGAAGTTCACCCGTTTTGGTGAAGGAGGCTATACTCTGCTGACTGCCTTTAATACACTATCTTGTTTCGTTCTCGTAACTACCACAGTACCGCGAGGAGTTATCATTATCCCCAATTTTAGGGACAAGGAACGGCCCTAAAAGCAATACTGCCACTAATAAGAATAACAGCTAACATTCGCTGAGTAGTTACTCAGTTGTCAAGTGCTTTAATGCATTAATTCATTTAATCTTGACGATGATTCTCTGAGGGGGGCGATTCCATTATTATCCCCATTTTACAGAAGAGAAACAAACGAGGCTCAGAGAAGCTAAGCGACCTGACGCAGTTCGCACGCCGAGCAGGTCCTCCCGGCCGCCAACCCCGCCGACCGGTGGGGCCGGGCGAGAAGGAGCTGCAGGCTCAGCGGCTACGACACGGACTCCCCGCTAAGCGTGGACTTCAGGGAAACAAGGACGAGTTTTTTACTACATGCATCTCGCATGTACTACCCGGGACAGGATTATCCTAAAAAAATTATTTGTATTGTTCTAAAATTCAGACTTAATTGAACAGCCTATATTTAAAGTATTTCCAGGGAACCTTCTCATATCTGCTGCTGTATTCGAACATGTTTCTAAATTAAAATGATGTCCAGGCCCAGTTCTGGGGCCGGACTTTGGTCACCGCTGAAATTTATAGGCAGCAAGATCAATGCCACATTCACAACAGAAAACATAGGACCCTGAGCAGCATGACCTTCAGTCGCTCTTAAAGACTTACTCAATGTCCAGGTCTGGCTCATAAGAAAAATTTTAATATAGACCTGGAGATCAATGAAAAAAAAAAAAATGAGACCAGGCCATTTGTCTTTCTACTCAGGAATGCCTTTTTCACTTGCGAGCAAGACCACTCGGTTTTCCCAGTATTGAGAGAGCCCCTGGGGCAGGGCTGGAGGGGCAGCGAGGAGACGGCGCAGCCCCCACGCTTCTCTCGGGACTCAGGGCCGTGGACCCACTGGGCGCCAGGACAATATTTAGATTCTGCTCACGGGACATGTTTGAATGGTCCCTCGAAACACAGCACAGCCTCCACATGACTCCGGTACAATAAAGGAATTTTTTTTAAAATCACCAGTTCGAACATTTTTGATGGCTTCTCTTTCAACATCAGAGAGTGTCTTCATGAGTCACACGTTTGTGCACCCCCACTCGACATTACACAGTGGGTCTGCAGGAAACGAGCATCTCTGCAACACTTTGCTGACGACCATCCCAGATACAGCTGCTCTTTAAACAACTTAATTGAACAGCCTATATTTAAAGTATTTCCAGGGAACCTTCTCATAGTAAAAGCTGTCCTCTCCCCCTTAGCACAAAACATTTCAGGGAAGAAGAGAATCCTCATGGAGTCCTGGTGTTCAATATGGCTAACAGGTCTGGCCCTCTTGAGGGAGGAATCAGTCAGTGCAGGGGTCCAGTGACATGACCCCGTCTGATCTGCCAGTGGCGTAGGATTCACTCACAGAGGCGACTCCAAGGGGCATTCACATCGGGCTCGCCATTGGGCAGCTCTGTCGTCTTACCTAAGTCACTTAACCC